GACTTTCCTTTTGAATGGTTGTATTATAGAGAGTTTTAAGCTTGCCTTTGTTAAAGAATAAAACAAAATGAAAATTCCCTCTCAAAGAGTCAAGAGAAGCCTTGCTATGCTTTTAGTACTCGAGTGACAAGACAGGAGGAACGTGTGGCGTGTATCAATTGCACTTTTAACGCTATATAACATTTAAAAATTAAAATAAGCAAATCGGTTTTTAAAACGGCGATGCGATGACTGAGAGGACGGCCTGGGTGGTATAAAGGGAAATAATGGTCCATTGCAAGAGAAGAGAGCGTATCGATTAACTTTGTTCTCCATGAAGGTCTTTAGGTGTTTACATGATAAATTTTATAATGTCCTAAAGTTTTTTTAATATTAAAATCAAATAATAAAATGATTGAAGTATTTTTATTAACTATTGGAATATCATATTTACTCACCTTAAGTAAAGTGATATCCAGTTTTTTATTTTATTGTAATAGTGGAGTGTTATGTATCCTTGTTAGTAATTACAACAGAAGAAAGTTACAAAATTAAGATTGATACGGCAATAGACCGCGAACCTTTTAGAAGGCTTATATATTTTTTGTTGTTCGTCATGTTATTACTCTTTAAGTTGTCGGACTCGCATCCGAAAGTGTATATTTAGTGCATAGGGCGTTAGTCCGCACAGTGTACTGATCTTTGTGGTACGCGGTTCATCTGGCGGCGGCGGCCAAAGGGATGAACGAGATGGGACGAACTTTCACGAATGAGACCGATCTTATCAGTCAATAAAGACCGATTCGTTCAAATCAAGTAAACTTTTGTGCTTTTTTTCCGCTGTTGGACAAAATGCCATGTGAAAAATAATTTTTATCATGACATTTAAATTTCAATTTCAATTTAGCAATCTATCATATCAACAGAACTATCTGTTACGAGTTACAATTTGTTACATTGCTACAAGTTTTATGTCATCAGTTAAATAATTTCGATGACTTAAAAGAATAGTTTATAGTTTGATTATGTAAAATCATGAGTTTTTTAATGAGCGTGTGTTAACAGGTGTTTGATATCGTGAAGCTGTGTGTAATAAGTACTAGAATGAAAATAACAGCGGTGTGTAAAAATAAGATTATTTATTAAACTCACGGATGTGTGCTACATGAACTGTTATTTTTCTTCAAAAGGTATCCATAAAAAAAATATCGGAATCTAAATTAAGTTGATTATAATTTATGAAGAAATAATATATGTTTTTGTTATATCAGTATCATTTAAATTTGACAAGTGTTTTGTTGTACTAATGTAGAAGTTAACTAGTTAAATAATATACTTTTATTAATATTAAAACTGATTTTAAGTGTAAAGATTTGAATGTTGAACTAGTTCAATGTTAAAATCGTGTATGTGTTAATAGGTCAGTAATGTTTGAAATTCCCAAAGAGATAACAAAATATGTGAAGAACAATTTTTTAAATCTTAATTGCAAATTTTATCAAGGATTTATTAAAATAAAACTATAAATATTTTAACTATAGTGGTAACACAACTTTTTATTTTTATGACAAATTATAAAAAGTTACAACATAAATGAAGTTTTCTAAATTAAATTACGAGATACATGTGAAAATAAA